ATAAGTAAACTATAACTTACTACTTGCACTAATATATCCTTCTTGGCAGTTTATCACTTATCGCGGGTCTTCAGACTACGAACCCCCTGCGATAAAGGAGGGACTACTGTAATAATATTGGGGGAATGGTGGCGCAGAGGCTAGAGAGGGTGAGCCTGTGATCGGAAGGTCACCGGTCAACTCCCCGGACCGACATTAAAATATTGGTGGAAGAGGTGAAGCACCCACACCTGCCTCCACCCTCATCTGCCCAACCCTGGCTCATGAGCAAGCGCCCTTCCCCCCCCACCCAGCGGCCCCCCCCGGACACCCCAGATGGCAGCCCCCTGCCCCACGCATGTACAATGGGAAAAATGCAGAGAATTAATCCCCCCTTTGGGGATTAATAGACTACAATAAAATAAAAAATAAAAATACACTAAAAAAAATTTTTCAAAGCTTTTAATTTCTCAAAACTCAACTTTCCTCATGAAAAGTTTACACTTTCAGTGCTCATTAATCTGTTTTCTTAAGTGTCATTGTCATCTGTGCTGGTTTCCTATTTAATTCAAATGATAAAATAATTCTCTGTATTTTGTTTTCTGGGCGTGGATTAAATCATGTAATGCGTCCTGTGTCCCCGTGTACAAAGTGGCCTCTCACTTTCTCTTCTAAATGATGAAAATATAAATGAAAATGCCAGAATTCAAAGTAAAAGCATGAGTGGAGTGTCACAGTTAATTACGCTGAGCTGCAGAGTGTAATTGAACCTGATTAAACCTGCTCATGGTGTGTGTGTGCACCACGAGGGGAATAGAGGCCCAGTGTTCTCAGGTCCCAGCTTTAAATAAGGGTTCTTTATCTGGCCTGTGTGCAGCACTGGTGTGAAAGCTTTTCCTGCGCTCAGACGAGGCCCGTGCCGCTTGCTTCAGGTGAGGCAACCACTAACCAGCACGGCTTCTAACCGTCATGCCTGGTTTGGAGCCTGAGGCCGTCCTGGCACACACACAACCAGGCTCAGTCCGAGCACACAGAAACATGTATGTGTGCCGCCATTTCTAATTTAAACTGAATTTATCATCCCAAATTGTTCCCCCCTTCTTGACCCTATGTGGTGGGAAGAAAAAACGGGATTCTGGGAGTTGGAGTATGGATTTAAAGGTTTAAGCATTTTTTATGAACTCCAGAATCGACCCGAACGTCCTGTTTCCTTCATTTGGGGAGGTTTGTGGTTGCTTAGAATTTGATCTTTAAAGACACATTTATTCAACGTGAATCCATCTGTGATGCTGAAAACTTCTTTGAACATATTTGTTTTTGTTATGAATTGATTTGTTTTCAAGTAACATTTTCCCAAGCACTGTGATTACAAGACTTATTGATAAAACTTTGAAATGTCTGAAACTAAAATCAACTTTATCTGAATGTATGTATATATATATATATATTTACCAACTGTACCAAAGTTATGTTTTAAGTTTTCTGAAATGTTTCCATTTGATTTCTTGGTTGTTTAATGTAAATTGCAATCACATGTGTGTGTATATATATATATATATAT